CCACCCCTCCCCCAGCCCAGCAAGAGACTAGGGATTGATTCTGTGCAAGAGTTGAACCAAAGAGGCTCCAGACAAATGAACTCCAGGCATGGTGAAGACTGGGGTAAGAGATGCAACATTGGGATGAAAAGGGATTAGGTAGCCCTTTCCATTGCTGGGCTCTAAGATGACCAATTTTCACCAGATAGGTGTGTATCTTTGCCCCATCTTCCTCCCACCAGAAGACCGGCCAATTCTTTTGAGGAAAAATTTAAACAGAGAGGCTTCAAACCGAAGGGCCCATTAATTAACATATCCCACACTCTAATGCAGGGCTTCCAACAGCTTTCTAGAGCCTTACTCTTATAAATGGACAACAAAAGACATTTGAGAAAAGCCTCCAAACTGAAAGAAAAAAACATACAGAAGAAAAATCATAATTAAGAGGCAGCTCATGTGGGTGGGGATATGAAGCTAGGGAATGGAATAAGTTTTACCCTCTCATTTCACCGTAAGGACCTAAGTTTCCTCTCTTAGTAGAAGGTTGCCATCCTACAACCTCAGAGAGACAGGCCAAGTAAAAAACAGAAGCCACAAAAATAAATTCCAAGTTTTTTCATGTCTCTGCATCCCATTCTCCACTGTCAAGACACGTAGACAGTGTCTCCTCTCACCTGGACCATGACGATAGCCCCCTAAACCCCAGAAGGTCTCCCTGCTTAAGACTTGTCTGTCAAACACAGAACACTGCAATGATCTTTTAAAAAATGAATCTAACCATTTTAGGCCCTCGATTAAACACTCTTCAGGGCTTCCTATTGAACTTGGCATCAAAATCCTATCCCCGTGAGCTGTCTGACTTGCCCTTGTATCCTCTGCTCTGCCGGTTTCTTCCACCTCACCTTCTCTGGCTCCAATTGGCGATCCACTCACTCTCTCTCCTTCCTCACTTACTTGTTATACCCAGTTCTTTCTGGTCTTAGAAGGCAAGCTTGTTCTCATCTCCCTTTGTTCTGCCGAGAAGTACATGGCTGCTTATGTTGTTTAATTGTTTACTGCCTGTCTCTCCCCACTGTAACAGAAGTTCCCTGAGAGCAAGTGCCAAGTCTATCTTGTTTATCATCCTTACACTAGCATCTAGAGCAGTCCCTGACCCAAATGTGCCCAAGAAATATTTACTGAATAGGTATTTGTAGTTTAAAAGACTCAAAGTTTCAAGGGTAGAGGTAAAATGTTAAGTTGAAAAAATGCTGAACCATTAATTCCATCAGGAGGTATCAAAATTTCATTGATGTTAGGGTCAACATTTCCCTTGACCCAAGTAAGTTTCAATTGTGAAAAATTCTAACCTAGTGTAACAATGTCAATACCCTAGTTGTGACAGTATGCTATAGTTGTGCAAGATATCATTGAGATAACTGGATAAAGGATACATGGTGTCTCTTTCTCTTTTGGGGGAGGAGGACGTAATTAGGTTTATTTATTTATTTTGTGGAGGTACTGCGGAATTGAACCCAGGACCCTGTGCATGCTAAGCACATACTCTACAATTGAGATAGACCCTCCCCTCTTTTATTTCTTACAATTGCATGTGAATCTCATTATCTTTTAAAAGTTTAATTTAAGAAATTCTCGAAGTAAGATAATTTAGTGTTCATTCAGCCAGCTTATGTAGTACAACCCCCAAAATGTCTTTCTCCAGAGAACGTTCTAAGGTGACACATACTCATTGATGGAACTTAGGGTGAAAAAGGAAGTCTCCATTTCTGGTATGTGATCTATTTTTCCTGGAGCTGAGGACATCAGACTCTGTTCTTAACCACACACAGTAGCTGACGCATAGTCAAGGTTCAATAAATATTTATTCAACGGGCTAATTATTTCTGAGAAGGCCCAAATGACATTCAGGCACAAGCTGCAAACTCCTAACACTCCCCGTTATAGCATTCCCATGTGCAAAGACTTCAGCACCAAACACAGGCCTATAAATGACTCTAAACCATTCACAAAGCATTTATTCTTATTAAGATGTCCAAAATGTACAAGTGGCCCTTATCTACACATAACTCACTACTCAGTGCTTTCATACAAATTGTATTACATAGTAAAGTAGGATGGAGAAATACTGTCAGGCCATCTATAAAAATCCTGTTATTTAAATGGATACTGAAATAGTCCTAGTCTTACTGAAAAATCTAAGCCCTTTCCAAAAACTGACTAGTAAATCTGTGGTTTGGTAATTAACCACATGAAGAGAACCTACTTCACTTGTCAATTCTGGTAAAGGATTGAGTGTCCGAATCTCCTGGTTGTTTATATTTAGAGAACAGTTAATTTACAAAACAGCTTAGTTTTCTAATGTATCAATCCATTTAGTCAATCTATATACCTAAGAAATGCTTTGGGGATTTCCATCCTCTAAATAATCTAAAGAATATTTTCAATGTTTTAATTTCACTTCAACTATGTCATAAATTAAAAACCCTCCGAAGTTGCAAATTAAAATCCACTGCTTAAAGTTTTGAGATAAAACAAGTTCTTTCATCTGAGCATTTCTTCTTTATGGCTTATATAGCCATGAATACCTCCCTCCTTTACCTTATGCCAGAACTTCATTTTTCCCAGAGGCTGTCTAAACTGAGTTCTAAATCACATTCAGTGGCTGCTGCCCTTGAAGCTGATTAGTAAAACGCCAAGTATTTAACGTAACACAGGAGTTGATTTAAACTGATAAAAGCAGGAAACTCAGAGCTGAAGGTGAACCCAGCTCCTGACATGGCCCATTGTTCCTTGGCACACTAAGGCACTCATCACATTAGGTGACCTCCTATCTCATCTGGACTAAATTCCAAACCTGAATGCATCTATTTAAGGTAGATGTAGCCTCATCCTTGAATTTCCAGATCGAAATCACTGTTGTCCTTTCCCATTTATTTTCTAAAGCAGCAGCTTTTATCAAAGTAACCGAAGAAAAACAGGTTTCATACAGAGGAGGCAGTTGGGAGACTATTAGATCCTCCTCAATTGTGTAGAAGAGAATCTTTGAAGTTTAAATGTAGCAGATATATAAGCCCTGAGTATTAACACTGTCCAATGAATGAAAGAGACTAGATTTATAAATGAAGCCTAAGGGTGGAGGGGGAGGCGGCAAGCTTAGAGTTCTTCGAGCTATCATTACTCAGCTGTAGCCCCACCACACTGTGCCGAAGTGTCTGAAGTCAATTTTAGAACTTACCTATACGGATGGACTATTTTTCTAGTCCTCGTTTTGGCATTGACTAATACTTAACTTCCATCAGAACCACTCCTTCATTTTCTTCTTTTCAAAACCTCTGATTACAGACCATATTCCTTACTCAGCCACAGAACGAGGCCATGGAAAAAGACAGAAACAACAAAGCAAAACAAATTCCCCTGTTTCAGGGGGGAAAAAGTCAGTTTAGGGTAACTGGCAGCTATGAAGAACCCTTAAAGTTGATAGATTCCATTCTGTCCATTTGACAACAGCCATATTTCAAGGAGATTTACCTTCAAATAGGCTCAATTGTACCCTCCCACCATTACTCATGCCCTTGCCATTCTATACTGCTAGGAATGACAGAGGATGATTCAAAACCCTTGAAATACCATTTCTCTCTTATACTTGCAACATCATTTACAAATAATGACTCCTTCAGGTTACACAAGATGGCAAAGTTATTTGGAAATTGGGCCACCCAAAACTTGTTTTCCATCCTATTTTTCTGAAAAATGTTTTTTAGAGGAAAAAAATCATGAGCAGGTAATAGAGCATTTCTGTCTGTATGTGCAGTAATGTGTATGCAACATAGCACTAGGAAACAATTAAAAAATGAAGTTAAGAAAACAATTCCAATTTATAGATATTAACTAATACATATAAGATAGGTAATCAGCACGTTTCTACGGTATAGCATATGGAACTATATTCAACATCTTCTAGTAAGCTATAATGAAAAAGAATATGAAAAGGAATATATGTGTGTAAATGCATGACTGAAACATGCTGTACACCAGAAACTGACACAGCATCATAAACTGACTATACTTCAATAACATTTAGAAATTAAAAAAAAATTCCATTCCCAATAGCATCAAAAAGAACAAAATACCTAGAAATCAATTTAACAGTGGAAAGCACAAATCATACTTAAAAAACAATACATTGTTGAAAGAAATGAAAAAAGGAACTGAATAGATGGAAAACATCCCATGTTTGTGGAATGAAGACTTAACATTGTTAAGATGACAATACATCTCTAACTAATTTAAATCAAAACCCCAGCTGACTTCTTTAGACACTAAGCACCAAGCAAAGATCATTTACAAGAAGTACGTCTTACGATCTTAGTTTGTAGAGCAGGGTTTTACGAACTCTGAAACAGAAATCACTGCATTAGCCCCAACTCTGTACCTCCAGGGCTCTCTCAGGGTAGATTTACAGGAAAGCCCTCATACCCAAACAAGGCCCGCTCTGTAATATAACCTAGCCGCTGCCAACTTCATTTAGTGCTAACAGTACTAAATCCACCTGGAAAAAATCTTTGGGGGTGGAGTGATGGGAGCTGAGGGAAAGCAGCAAAAACCAACCAACAAAGGAAAAAGTGCTTCCTGACCTCCTTCCAAAGGGTCAGAAATTTTAACTATAAAAAGGAGATGGTACATTTCAAAAATCTTGAACACTGCATTTTCTTGGGAAAACTTGCAAGCAATTTCCTTTAAATAAATGGGACAAATGTTACTGTTTGATGTGAGTCAGCTGATTTACACTAGCCATCTAAGGAGCAGAGTTAGCACTAATCACAAATACAACAGAAATGGGTTACATTGCATATTCTCTAGTCTAGGGTCTCTCACTTGATGGGGATTTAGGGAGAAGTTAGTATCTTTCACTCTGCAAAAGGGATAAAAAGTTGAGCCAAGACTAGCTTTTCAATATACTTTCTCTCCCTATCAAATGACAATTTAAAAGCAAATCTTTAATTAAAGTTACACACAGACAATTTTTGCCTCTGACAGAAATTTATTCTTCCATTAAACAAGACTATAGCACTCTGAATTGTCTATTCAGTGCTGCAATCCCAACCACAATTTATGCTAATTAAGTTTTTACATCAAAAACAAGACTCCTCCGAAAAGAAAAAAATAACTCAGGGAAAAAAATTTAAAGCTCTCCAAAATAATGGCAACTCATTTACACTTGGAAATAAAAAGGCAGATGTTAGCCCTTTACACTGACAGATACCACCGAATGTGCTAATCTGCACAGGCCCCCCTTTACACGACGCACACTGCCTTATAGAGATCTGACACACGAAGCTTTTTCCTGAAGGCACAGATAGGCACACAGCATTTATTTTGCCTGAGAGGCTCAAGATTTTAGTTCAGAGGGCCCAATGTTAACGACAGGTGCACTGAGTGGCTATCATATCTTCATATTCTTTATAAGCAATTGAGCCATCAGTCTCAATGGTCAAAACACTCAAAGGGCTGTACTTGGCAGGCACACAGGACGAGCGCGGCACTGAGGGGTCGAGCTTTTCATGGATGACGTTCTGCACCATGGTGTGAACAGGGGAGCCATACCGATGTCCCGCTGCCCTCGGACAGTCCCCTTTACAGTATCGAGGGTTGTATTTGCGTGGGGCCACAATCCAGATGTCCCACTTCAGCTGACTAAAGCTAAGTCTAAAGTCATGGAGCTCACACTCATTCTGGGGAAAAAGAAACTGTTTGAAGTATTCACTCAGATTGAATGAAGCTGGAACCAGAGGCTTCTTCAATTCAGAGCTGACCGTTTCCTGATCTCTCCGGTGACGGGAAGCTCTTACAGGCTCAGCAGCCTCTTCTCCCGTGGGATAAGCGGACAGCCCTCCCTTCTGGTCAGGAACCTGTGAAGGCCTCCTTTTATGGTGGTGGGAATACCGCCTGTGATAAGCCTCAGCACTTGTGTCATTCAGATATAAAAGCAGAGAGGGGGGCACCAGGAGAGTCGTATGAAGTGGACTTTTCTGTGCTGAAGGACGCTGCGGCTGGGCTGTCAGACATGTAAAATTTACAGACATGTGAATACTCCTCCTGTTGGAGGCCACTAGAGGCTGAAGGAGAGCGGTCACATCAATCTCAATCCATTTGTATTTCTTTCTAAATTCAAACTGTGAGTTAACGGTAAATGAGTTTGGAGCTTTAGGGAGAGTCTTGCTAGAAAGCTCTGGCTCTTTAATCACCAGGTTACACACACATTTAGCAGAAGGAAAAGCAACGGAATTGCTGAAAGTGTATAGCAAGACTGACTTGAGTAAATGTTCAACAGCAGTAACACGATCCAGGTTAAACAGCAGGTCCACTGATGGAAGGGTTCCTGAGAAGAAAAACAATCCACCAGTAGTGCTCAATACAAATCGAACACAGCAGGAAGTCAAATCAAGGAGTTAGTACCTCAGTATGTGCTTTTGCCCCTCTTTTCCCACTTTCTCAAGCCTCAAAACAAAAGCGGGGGTGAGATGGGAGTTATGAAGAAAAAGCAGATAATCAGCGCTTACAGCTGGGTACTTTATCACCGGGAAGTCAGAGCCACTTTGGTGATAAATTAAAACAGGGGTCTCTACATTCTGAAGTTTCAGAATCTAAATAATTTGCTCCAAACACAGGGAATGCTAAAAAGGAAAGCATTATTTTTCTCTTGGAGAGTCTGTAAAGGGAAAACTACACTAAAACAAACACTTAGTGGCAGGGGGAGGGTATAGCTCAGTGGTAGAGTGTGTGCTTAGCATGCATGTGGTCCTAGATTCAAGTCCCAGGACCTCCATTAAAAAATAAATTAAAAACCTAATTACCTCCCCACCTAAAAACTTAGGGAAAAAAAGAAAAAACACTTACCAGGCTTGTTAAGGCATTCTAAGTCCTTATTGAAAGAGTCAATAAAGAAAACTTACTGTCTATGTTAATTGGGAACACTTGAGACTGACAACAGACGCTCAAAAACCCACTATAATAAAATAGGACATCAAAGAAGGGTTTTAGGGAGCCACAACTGACCTGCTGGGTTAGAAGTCAGGAGCTAGTGAATATTGTTTTTGTTTTTTATAGTGCTGCTCCCTTCTCTCACACACCCAAGACTGTTAGCTAACACTGTGTTCTTATAAAGATCCACTGTTCTACATGGGGACTTAAGCTTTCCACTCACAGCAAAAACTACAGAGAAAACATGCTGTTTCATAAAGCACACCAATAGCTGTAAAAGGCATTTTAGGCTCATTTCCAGTCCAGCATTGGTAGAATGGGAAGAATAAGCAACTGGAAGTCAAAATGCCTGGTTTCCAGTCTTGATTTTGTGACCCTGGACAAGACACTAACCCTAGCAGCACTTTCATCAGCCTACTGAGCCATTAAGTCTCTTCTAGCTCTAAAATTCTATCATATTAACCCACTGTAACTCATGAGGACATAAGGAGGAAATAGTAAGTTCAAGTACCAGATTTGCTTGGATTTTGATATTGAATAATTGCAAAGTAAATGCCGTTCAAGGTGCAAAACACAGCTCCTTTCTGTAATGGAAAGGAGAAGGTCTATCATCTTCCCTCCACCCATTACCCAATCTGCTCCTACACACCTGTTGCCTGGTCCCCAGGAGCCTGCTTGTGCTGGGCACAGGGGGTGAAGAGCCGAATAGTGTTGTAGAGGGGACTTCTGTTGGATTTGGGGATCCCCTCCTTGGTAGCATATGCCTTATAGAGCCTCTTCATGTAGCGCAAAGCTCTGGCTTCTGGCTGCAGCCTAGGGGCCCCATCTGGCCCATCATAGAGAACTTTTAAGAGAGGGGAAAGGAGGCCAGATCTGTGCCTCTCATCTAGAGGCTGTAGCAAAGACCAAGGCTGAGCCTCAGATTCCAATGCAGCACTAGCGGCAATCTGAGCTTCTCCGCTAGAAGCCTGAGAACCAAGGCTAATAGGAAAATAGAGCCAAGCAAAGCAGCAAAACCAAAGGAAGAATTTGCTGGGAAGTGCCATGGCTTGGAAGAATTAGCAAGGAGCACATTTCCCCATACCAGTCTTCCTCCTACAAACCAGGAAGAGCCTCGGTTGGTCTCTTAAATAAAATTTAGGTGTGTGGGTGGGCTAGGTTCACTTCTGTAATCAGACCTCAAGGATGTCCAGCTGAAGATAGTTCTATCAGCTATATGTCAAACACCTGACAGAACCCTATTTATCCAATTTGTCCTCCTTACACGTGGATATATTTGGTTATTTAGCTTTCCTCTTCCTTTTCCCTGGCATTTATTTAAAATGTCTTAAGTTATCATTATACTAATGGTCTAATCATGTAGCTGAAAGGCTAAGAGAAATTGAGGAGTGATCTTAAAATAAAACCACTCATTTTTTCAGAGCAAGTAGGATTCTTAAAATGTTCCTTAGGTACTTGCTGAAACTTCCAAGGCATATGGAAAAGCTAATTATTCACAATGTTTGGCAGATCTGTGGGTATGCAATTTATGGTATTGGGTTTACTCTTCTTTATCCTCCCCACTGCTCCCATTTTCAGGTGCTTAGAATAATTATTTACTGCATGCTGATTTGGAGGGTGAGAGAAAGTCGCAATTGGCATTGAAATTCCAGAAAGCAGAAAACTGCTAAGTTGCATAGTTCTCTGAGGTAGCTTAATAAGGATATGTACTTGGATTACTGCAACATGCCTTAAAAAGGAGGACGTCACCTTTAATCTTGACTCATTTTATAACACCTTGATGCCTTCACTTTGGTCTGCACATTTGCCTACACAAACTTTGCTTGAAAGGTCTATTCTATACGTCTTTGCAGGTGCTAGAAAATAAAGTTTTATTTGTTTTTCATTCATCACTCAAATGGTGGTAGAATTTGCTAGGGTATTTTTGTTCTTAACTCTTGTAAGTATTTATGTTTCTGCCTCTGAGCGGAGATCAGGTTAGAGATTATGTTTCAGAAAAATGAGACAAGGGTGCACCTTGGATAGCTGAAATGAGAGGATATCCAGTGCCACCCCTAAGGAGACTGTTTTCTGAGAGAAAGTCAACCTACACTCACAGTACAAGATACAGAACCAGTCTATGCAGGGCCTGGGCTGATAAAACTAAGGTATATTTGTAAATTTTAAGTTCATTGCCTGCCAAGCTTCCCCTAGCCGGTCACTGGTAAGCAGGGTTATAAAACACACTCAAACTGTTGAATGCAAACTTGGATCTAGATTACATACGGTTTGCAATTCCATGAACAAAACATGTACAGACATGCTGCATCAAGTGGGAAAGTCAGTCAGCTGCACAGGACAGCAGCATTCTTAAGTAGAAAGCACTTTCCCAAAAATGATACCGCCTTACACACGTTCCTGCCTCCCTCCCTGGAAAGTGGAGCGAATTGTGGGCAACCTGACAGCCCGTCCCTGGCCAAGCCCTGTCGTGGAGAGGGGAGAGCTGGCTGCTGTGAAGGTTGCCTCTTCCTTCCCTCCTCCCACCACTAACAGTTGTTCAGCAGTTGCTGGACAATTATGTGAAGTCTGTTGTGGCTGGATTTGAGGAAACGTTTTAATCTCTCCTGGAAAAGTCTATACTCTGCCACTGTAATCCGGTGGCTGCCAAGAGAAGCCCCAGATCCGTGTCCTTGACTCGGGTCCTGGGGTCGCTGATGGTCTGAACATAACCGATCCCAGTTCCAGCCACTGGACAGGGCCGTATAAAACCTCGTGTCGGCTGCCAGGCGGCACCTCCTCCGGCCTCCGGGGCGCTCTCCACCGCGGGAGGGCACCGGCCTTCAACGCGCGGCTGTCTCGACCCTCGAAGTTAGCAGCCACCTTGCTCTTCACCTCTTGGTCCCGCCCAGCTCTGGCCGCCTCCAGCGGCTCCTCAGAAGGGCGAAGACCCAAAGAGAAGCTAGAGGGGCTCTGGGGGTACCCCCGTCCCAGTGCCCGCCAATCGTGCTAGGCCCCACCCCCTGCCCAAGCACCGCCCACCACACGTCACCTGTCCGGGGCACTTCTCTCCCGCACGGAGGAAACGGCACCTCCCCCTGGAGACTGCAGGGAAATTGCTCTCCCGGAAGTGACGTCACCACCTCCTAACGCGGCGCCCGGCCCTACCGGAAGTGGCGGGCTGAGGCCGGTGGATCACGTACTGTGGAGGGCGAGGTGACCTCGGTGCGGGGGTGAGGTTCTGCCGCCCGATCTCGGTGGCCTCGGGAGGGTGGGGGCGCCGCCTAGGCTGGGAGAAACGGGGGACGCCGGGGAGGGTCTCGGGTTGGGGGCGGCGCGTCCCGGGCTTGAGCCCAGCGTCTGTCCTCCCTCCATACTGCAGGCGCCGCTGCGACCATGGGCCGCGAGTTTGGGCACCTGACGCGGATGCGGCATGTGATCACCTACAGCTTGTCGCCCTTCGAGCAGCGCGCCTTTCCGAACTACTTCAGCAAGGGCATCCCCAACGTGCTGCGCCGCACTCGGGCGTGCATCCTTAGGGTCGCGCCGCGTGAGTTCCCTGGTTAGGCGGGGGTCTGGACGTCCATCCACCGTGGGAACGGCGGGTCCCCTCAGTGAGCGCTCTGCGACGGGCGGGCGCCCTGCAGCTTGCCATGCACACGTTTTCTCACTGGATATTCTTGAAGGCCCTTGAACTGGTCATAGCATCCTCCCTATCCTACAGATGAGGGAAGTGAGTCACGGAGAACTTAATGGACTGGCCCAAGGTCACTTATGTGACTCCATCGTCTCCATATGAGGTCATCTTTACCCACTTCCTTCTTAGAGATGAACTGTTTTGTGTTAAATGTGCAACAGATGGTGATGCGAGTTGCACAATATTGTGAATTTGCTGAAACTCACAGAAGTGTACATTTCAAAATGGTTAAATGATGTTTATCTTACGTGAACTTGATCTGTTATCTCATTAAAGTACTTTAAAATGTGCAACAGGGGAGAGATAGGGAAGATTTGGTCACAAATTTTCCTGGGTGAACTCCTTTCTTTTGGCCACCTGTTAAATGTGTGTGTAATGTAGCCTTTCCTGATCTGGTTTAAGAGTGCTTTCTTAAAAACTAGAGACAGGAGGGCAGAATATGCTGAGTCAGAAATGAGGACTGGGACCCATGTGCCTTATATGTGCTCACTGCTTACTCTCGTTTTTTATTTTTATAGCATTTGTAGCATTTTATCTTCTCTACACGTGGGGAACCCAAGAGTTTGAGAGATCGAAAAGGAAGAATCCAGCTACCTATGAAAATGACAAATGAGCAGCTCATCTGGATAATGGTTCCTTGTCTCTGAACGACCCTTCTCTGGGAGAGGAGTCTACATTGTAGTGTCCTGAAGACACAATAAACTTATTATGGGCTACACTGTTGTGATTTTGCATTTTTATGAGCAGAGTCCTTGGATGTGTCTGCTAATTTTCAAGTTCATAAACTCCCCTCTCCAACATGAGGCCTGAACAATTTTGGCCAGTCTCTGAGTTTGGTGAAGGATTGTGGCTCACCCCTTGTTCTGTAATCTACAAAACAGTAGCTGCAGCTACTCCTGTGGATGGCATGAATTGTAGGGAATGTTGGCTCCCGGCCTCCACTGCCATAATGACAATAAAATCTAGTAACTGTATTGTCATTATGTAATTATTTTTCTTAGCCCTTTACACAAATAAAAGTGTTTTAAACCTCACAGCTACCTCTTGAAGTATCACTGTTACACTTACTTTGCAAATAAGGACACAGGTATAGAGAGGATAAGTAATTTGCTTAGAATTATACAGCCAGTGAATGGTAGAGTCTGGCAAGCAAGTTCGTGCTGTGAGAGCTATGCTGTACCAACTTTCCTCCTAAGGCAAGCCTGCCTTAGCCTGGGAGGAAGTCGGCTGTCAGAGGAAGGAGTGAGGTGACTCCTTTGCCTCTAGAACTAGGCTCAGCAAACTGGCTGTGTTTGTACCAGGTTGCTAACAGTGGTTTTCAATCATGTGTGGCGCATAAAGCTTAAAATATTTACTCTCTGGCCCTTTATGGAGAAAGTTTACCCCTGTTTTAGAGCCTTTGAATAATCTTTGTGGTGGAAAAAGGTACCCTGTTCCATACACCAGGTGGTGGTGGGGATAAGTGTTGGCAGTTGTATGCTTCTGGTTCCCTGCTCTAGTTTTAGAAACTTCTCTTCTAAGGACACTTGGTCCAGAGCAGCAACTTTTACAGTGAGCTCAGCTTCTGGCCCAGAGTATATCTGCATTTATTCTAATGATTGCTCCTGCCTTTTAGGAATCAAAATTAAAATATCTCAAAACAAAAGTCGGCAAAGATAGATTGCATTGTGACACAGGGTAAGGAGGTGAGGCTGAGGTGGACAGACTTGGGCCCATATCCTTTGTTGCTTCCTCACTGTGTGATGCAGGCAAGAAATCCACATTCCTTAGCTTTGAACTGCTCACCCATAAAATAGATGTGTTAATACAGAGCCTTAGGGCTGAGGTAACAGTGAAATGACTGATATGGAAGAGTCCGGCAGGATGGTGCAAGCTTAACACAGGACAGTGGTGTGATGAAAACTCTTGCCTCACCAAACATAGTCTAATTTTCCAGTTTGGCTGTTTGTCCAAGTTTATTCCCAGGGCTTGCTGCTTGAACTGCAGTGTTTTGGGGACATAGACGCCTTTGAGAATCTAATGAAAGCTGTGGACCTGAAGAAGCTGTGAATGTACCCTTCCTAAACTTTGTATTGTTTGAACAGGCTCACGGCCAGGGGAAGATCGATGATTGCCTTAACAGGACATTAATCTGAATTTTTCCCCTCTGATTTTGGCCCCAAGCTTCCTAGGGGCGATGGCCACCATCTTCCATCTTGGCTTCATTTTACCTTTAGACTTTTATTCCTGGTTCTATGAGTCCTTTTGAGATACCAGCTCAAAATCCAACTTACTCTTCCTCAGTCCAGACCAGTCACTGAGCCTGTTGGTCTGAATCCTTTTATTCCAGGTGTGCTTTACTGAGGAGGGGTTCTCTAAGCCCTTTCATGTGCTGAGCTTCTGCTTTGGGATAAAATTGTTAAAGGGTGCTTTAAGCCTGTCTCCTTCCAAAGGGCTTTCCTCTTTAAACTTGGGGACACAGAGCTCTGTGCAGCAGGGTGCTGGTGGGTGTGGAATATGAGTTGTCATAGCTCAATTCTCTCGTATGTGATGTGGGATTTGGGGTCATTTTATGGACTATTCTATCTGTAGAAATCCATAAAAAGGAAAGTGGGTGAAGTCTCTTAAGGAAGAGAGACCACTGCTGTGGCCTCTGCCTGTAATCCACCCACCTGGAGCCTCCAGCCGGGGTATGCTCCTTCACCTACTGCTGGGGCACAATCCCGTGTTCCTTTAGCCCTTTTCCCCAGCAGTGCTTCTGCTCCCCCAGGGCTTTCCTCTCTGGGCTGCAGAATGCAGCAAAGGGGACTCCAGTCAGCCCACAGTCCCAGAGATGCAGGCCCAGAAGTCCATGACAGTTCTAGCCAGCAAAAGAGCAAATACACTTTGACCCTTTGCTGAAGTTTTACCTGGAAGTTTTTCCATTTCAGAGTCTTTCATTTTTCATTAGGTACCTTCTGCTCAGGGATAGCAAAAAAGTTTCCAGTTACTGTTGTGCCCTAGTGATCTTCTGTCCACCTAGAATGTGTTTCAAACAGCTGCTCATGTAGCTAAGCCCTCTGTCTCCCATTTCATTCTAGGCACTTAATCTCAGAAACAGAAAATCCCTGGGAGCTGTATTAAGAGTTACCAAGGTATAAGCTGTCAAATGTGTTCAGTCATTTACTTCTTGTAAATTAATCACTTGAACCCCAACATGTTGAGTTCTGAGAGGCCTTAGAGATCCTCCTGTCTCACGACAGAACAAGAAACTAAAGCCCAAAGAGGGGAAGGGCTGGCCTGGTCAGTTACCCTACCTAGGCCCCTGGCTCCTGCCTTCCAGCTAAGCACTCTTTCTCCTTATGGCTCAAACTATTAAAGGCTGCTGAGACCTTTCTGCTGGAGGGTGGAACATGTAGTTTTAAATCGATTTACTCAGCAAAGTACTTGAATGCAGAGAGTGCCTGGATTTAAAAAAAAATTTTTTTAATTTCAGGAATAGGCCTTCACAAGTCTGCTCAAGGATGTGGGATGGCTGTGGACAATTGCTATCACTTCAACTTAAAGCTGTCTGGATGCCACTTTGCTTTTAAAGGTTTGATTTTTGCTCCATACTTAAATAAAACAACTACAGAGTTAGTGTGGACATATGTTGAAATTCTTTCCCTCACGGTGATTCCTTCCACAGGCAGTAACTAATGGATCTTTTCTTCTGGTAGGAGGGATAGCACACAAGGCAGAGAGAGGCTCGAGCCACAAAGGCTTCTGCAGTGTTGTCACACCCACACTGAATGGTCCTTTTTTCCCCTCACAGAGGGGTCTCAGAGCAGACCCTTCCCTCGGCTGTGGTATTGGCTTATGTTCACACAAAAGGCTACTTTGATTTTGCTTGAAGTACAGGAAGGCAGAAATGGAGGCTCATGAGAAGGTATCTCTTTGGAATGAGCAGGTTCCAAATCCCATTTGGCACATCAACTCCAGGCTTGTTGAGGGGAGGCTGGCACCGAGTCCACAAATCCAGCTGGCTCTAGGACATCACGTTGTTCAGTCTTTTGCTTACCTAATCGGATTTGTGTTCTTACCCAATGTTCACTAGGTCACCACGCAGCCTCTTCCCCACCCCACAACAGTACTTAATTAAGCCCCTACTTGGGGTCATTCTGTGTCTGAGCCAGGAGTAAAGAAAGGGAAGAGCAGCTAGTTAGTCTCAGACTTGCAGGATTGGTTAAGTGAGTTTGACATAGTTCTGTTTCTCAGTGATCCATATGTGCAAGCAGTGGTGTCTCCCTCCAGGCCAGGTTCCATGTTCCTGAGAGGACTGGAATCAGGCAGACAGATCTGCAGCATCACATCCCACCCAATCTCAGCTTCGATGTCCACCATACCACCCTCTTCTCCCTTGGCAAGAGGACTGGTGACCATCCCATTCCACCTCCAGCTGTGCTGCACCTCCTCCACTTTCCCTTGGGGAACAGGCAGTCTCTTACCACACATCCAAACTCTGAAGCTGAGAAGGGCTTTGCAAAGAGGTATCAGCCAAGTGTTCAGGGAGACACTAGGCACAAAAAGAATCTTGTTGCATTTGTTTTCTTGGCTTTTCCTTCCAGGTCACTGGCAGATCTAAAGTCCTATAAATCTCCTTACTCAGTATTCACACCTTTCCCCATAAATTTATTTAAATGTCTGTCATTTAATGAGTACCATAACTACTCATGGTTTAGGTACATGCCCTTTCTTGGTCTAGAATCCTGCAGCAGTTCCCACTTAAGCTGGTGGATGTTTTTGAGCTCTGGAGAGATCTCAGCCCTATGCCTGCTTCCCTCAGGCTGCTGGAAGGATGTCCTCTGTAAAAAGCCCAGTCAGCTGCTGGCAGAAAGGCTCACAATTCCAGGTTTGCAACATTTGTCACCACCACCACCAATCTCTCCCACTGCTTTAGGAGCCCCTGCTGTCTCCTCATTCACATTTTATTTTAAAAAAGGAAACAAAGCCAACCAGTAGTCATTCATTCACTTCACCCATGACTGAAACATCAGTCAGTCCTGATTTCTTTTCCCCCAGGAGGTGGCAGGTAGGACAGACTTTGAACTTTCTGCAGCAGGGTTTCCACTCTTCTAGGGAGATGATGTGGAACAGATAACTAGGATGACAGTCCATCCATATAAACGGGGGTCTAGGGCACTGCAGACCACTGCTTGCTGAAGCATCCTCCCACAGAAGGGAGATAAGGGCCTCACCCCACTGCCTGTAACAAAATGTATCTGCACTTCTTTTCTAGACAAAGATGAAAGGGGTCAACATTATTTCTGAAGACCTCAATATTTGAATTGTATTTTGATTATAGAATGATTTCACTGAACTATTTTGGAATCAAAATGTGGCTAGGTGCCTGGTCTCCCTCAATGACTTCACGTGGCTTTTCAAAGGGGAGGAGGCAGTGCTGACTTGGTAAAATGAGTGAAAAGATCCAAGCCAGCAACACAGTCACTCAAAGTCCAGATGAGGGATCGGTAAATACAACGTGCCTGAAAGACAGGCCTTGAGCAGATTCCTCTGGTAGACATTAACTCATTAAATTGACCATGACTGTAAATATAAACTTTGCCCCCATCTCACCTGGCAACCATAAAAGAGGCGGGTTTGTCTATAAAAGGATGCGGAAACTGTCCCCAGCTTTCAGGCTTCAATATCCCGTCAAGATGTGGCACCTCAAACTCTTTGCAGTACTTACGATCTGCCTGTTGCTGTTAGGCCAGGTAAGGAAAGGATACATATGTTGGGGTTGTGGGGATGGTGGTGGTGGTGGAATTGTAGGCAGAACTTCAGAGAGCCAGATTCAGTCCTGAGGAATGGTCCTTCTGCTCTGGGTCTATAGCATGGGGGGAGGTGGGGTTCTTCCAAGTGCACAGCAGGGGGTCAGCTCTTGTATGTCTGAGGTGAATGTTTTTGCCCTACAGGTAGGTGGCTCCCCAATACCAGAACTGAGTTCAGCAAAGAGAAGGTCAAGGAGAATGACCCCATTTTGGAGAGGGGTTTCCCTCAGGCCCATTGGAGCTTCTTGCCGGGACGACTGTGAGTGCATCACAAAGCTATGCAGGTACTCCACAAACCTGGGAGCAGGGCTGGGCCCAAGAGGCCTGGGAGGCTGGGCAAAGGGGCCATCAACACACACACAGGCCTAAGAATAAAACTGGGCTAGAGGACTGCCTGGGCTAAAGCTGGGAACTCCATGGAGGAGAATCCCTCAAGAATTAACAGCCAAGAACAGCTCCACACAAGTACCATGAAAAAGCAGCGCCTTTCCTTTCTTCACTCTAACCTGAGCCTGGATATCAAGCAGAGGAAGGAAATGCAGCAGAGGGTGCTCTGGGCACTGCTAGATCTTTGTCTTAAAAACCACCTTTTCTTTTCCCTCAGAAAAAGACGCTGTTCCCTAAGTGTGGCCCAGGAATGATGTACACACCAGGGGAAAAGAGGACAGCGCTCGCCTACAACAATGCTCCGTTCTATGGAATACTGACATACTGCATTTGGCTGGAGACGCTTAAGTGAAGCAATCTTGTGTTTTTAATATTTAAAGACAGATGTATGCTTTAAATTGGTCTCCGTTCCTTCTTAGAATATTGATATGTAGGTAAGCATAACTTAACTTGTGAACTTAGAGTTTATTTTTCTATGTATACTATTAAATGTCTGAAATGGAAATTTTGGCAGCCTGGAATTCACACTTTTGAAGGGAAGGATTCATTTTGTATACTATGGAAAAAACAGTACTGCCTAACAATAACAATGTGTTAACTTCTCAATCAGGAAAATGCAGTGGGAATTAATTTTTTTAAAGAAACACACCACTAGGCTAAAGGCAAAAGTTTAGTACACTTAGTGACTAACCTCAGCAAGTTCACCAGCTATGGCCCTGGCTCTTAACACTCCATGTTAAGAACTTGAGTGAGGTGTCAGAGATGGGCAACGCTGGCACTCAGGACCTGACGATGTGCCCAAGTTCGCCCAGGAACAGAGGCAGAACTGGAAGAAAAACCTAGTTTAATGAAACAATAAAAGCCCAAGGCACCAAGATTAACAAAAAGGATGTGTTTGAGATTTCTGTTGAAGCAGGGCGAATTTCCATCTATGCAGAAGGACCCATGGCCAGCCAGTTCAGATTTTCTGTAATCAGAAAATAAGACCTGGACAGATGGGACCAGACTTTTAAAGAAGAGTAGCTTTGGACCCTAAAATACAAAACAGAAATTACACAAAAGGGGCGAAGTAAGAGTTGAAGAAGTGTAGAGAGCACAGTGTTTATAAACTTTAATACAGAAAATCTATTTGATATTTATTAAACTTAGTTTCTCCAGCTATGGTTTGGCATTATACAAAGCATCTTAATGACACAGTAGAGTTAAAAAGATCTTTACAAATTGAAATGTGATACCCTTGTCTCCAAATATTTTAATTGCCATAAATTTGTTTAAAAATACACATTAAACGCATGTTTGACACTCTAAACTTTCTATAATCTCAATACCACAAAATACATATAATATACTATACAGATGTGGAAAAATCTAGTTAGTATATAATACTTTGCTCACCATTAACAGCTTTTAGTATGTGAAATGCACGTACTGACTTAGAAATCCTAGCTTTTGAGCCCCAAAAGTACCTCTGAAATTTTAAAGTATTCCAACAAATAAAAATCACAGTATATAATTGAAATTTTGGTTGAAAATGTCAGATGCCGGAATATTCTGGATAAAAGAAATGTCAAACAAAGATGTGGATCATGTACAAAACAAAGGCGTCCTATCAGACGCTAGCAGTACCTTTCTGTAGAATCAACAAGGCTTTGAATTTATCGGCGGCATTACCTCCCCTCCAAAATCCCCCCCAAATATCAAACCGTTATCACCAAATAATTTTAATTTCAAATAAGATAAAAGGATTTTCAATAAATATATAAGCATCTCTATCCTCCATATACAAAATTTCTTAAAATCATTCGGAACGGAGGCTAGATAGAAATTTTCATAACTGTGCTTACCAACCCCACATCTGGTCCTCAGAGGTGCCTTTTCAGGCACTACCCACTGGGCCAGCTCTTGTTGGTGAGCCTTGCCCTTCCCCACCCTGCCCCACGCCACGCGGACCCCAGTACTGTTGAATGCTCATCTCAATGTTTTGCCAGGTGTGTGCATAAAGTTGTAAAATGGGGACACTTCTTGAATAACAACAACAAACCCAACTGTATGGATAATCATGGCATTGATCTGAAAGGCAGCATTTCCAAATAGGTATTTTCCAGAGAGGAACATAGCAGGTGGAAAGTTCCAATAGTTAAAAGCTGAAAAGAAACCCCATGTGGAAGCAGTAAGAAGTCAAAACTGAATATTATTAGAATTTCTGGGTGGGAGCTTTTTCCCATGCGCATTTAGAGAGCTTTTTTGTCTGTCTCTTTTTAAGAATGGCAATTTATGCTTAGCTGAGCAATGGCGGCAAGGAGAGATCAAAGCTGACATTCCTGAAAGTCAACTTCATTTTATGATGGTTACTTAGGCTGCTATTTTAGGTTGCTTAAAGATCTTGGAGACTTGGTTTAGACTCTAATGCCTTATTCTGTGATCATAAAGAAGATATTTAGATATTCTTTCCATTCGCTTTTCTGGTGACAGTAAATTCTTTTTAATTAACTATAGGGTTCACGTGAATAGAATCAGCATCTATTTTACCAACTATTAATAACTCACTTCCTGTCATTTGCCAGCTTGGTTCTGGGATCTAAGGGTCTAAACTGAAATTTCTCCCATTAGTGAATATGTGAAAGATATGCTCAGAAATATGACCAATTTGGCCTCTTGTCACTACATATTCCAAGTCATTCAATACTTTTCTATTTATTTTAATGAATAGCAACCTTAGATTTGCAATATTATTATTGGAAAAAAGTCTGCCTCTCCAACACATAGATACATGAAATTGAAATATGTGTTCCACATAATTAGGGAATATGAGTTACAGGAATCTATATGGATTTGAAATGTTTTGCTTCAATTTATTTAGGATTAAAAAAAAATCATCACAATCTGCCTAGAACATCATTCCCAGTAGGTGTTCCTGGGACTCAGAGGCAATCTTCTATAATGCAAAATATATAATGAGGCCATTTTGTTCAATTAGCAACTGGAAAATTAAAATCCTTCCCACCCTGTAAGAGCCCTATTATAATACAGAAGGGCTCAAATGTATTTTAAAAGTTAATTTACTACAAATCATAGTAATTAAGCTTTAACAATCTAAAAGGAATACACATTGCACCCTTGAACATTAATATTCAAGGTGTCAACAAGAAAGTGTCTTAGATCAATTTAATAAATAATGTGGAAATAGTTGCACTAAGCTAAAATACTAAACACACACATTTTGGACAAACTAATTTCATGTTTTCATACATACATACATACATATATATAAAGTGTGTATGTGTACATAATTTTAAAATCCAAAGTTGCATACCCTCACACTTAGAAGAGCGCACAGCATACGACTCTCCTCTACACAACTAGGTATCACCGAATGGAGCTTTGTGGGCTGCCCTGACACTCCAGAGTGCTGCTGGCCTCCAGAGCCAGAACTTTCATTTAGAACAGGTGCATTTTGTAGGCTTTTGCTTCACAATGAAAGTTCATTCGATAAAGGTAATTTCTCAAAGTTTCTATCTTTAAATACAAAATGATACTGTCTGAACTAGCTGATTAAACCTTTCTTTAATGAAAAGAAACAGACAACAATTAAAAAACAACAACAACAGTGAATCTAATAAAGCCAAGTGTGTCATTCAAAGTGCAGCCCTGGTGCCTGTGGATCCATCAGTGTGAGAGCTCCCCCAGAGCACAGGCATGTGTGGGCACAGGCACACCTTACTCTAGATAGCTTTTACATTGGAGAATTAAATCAGTGATGGTTAATTAACCTTCTCTATTCTTCAGCAACTGCGGCTGTGAATTTATCTGAAGTACTCACTGCTTATAAAGGCAGTTCTTGGCTACTTGCCCAGAAAAAGCTAGCACTGAAGCAAGAAATGGGGTGAATGCTTCCCAGCCAGACTGGATCTGGGATGGGCTGTGGAATTCTGAATCACCCAGAGGGAAGTGCTCCTCACGGCTGGGCAAGACTATACCATGTGACAACTTCATCCGCCAAAATCTGTTCGTTGGTTGCCTGTAAAGAGTCCAGTGGTGTAGGCTGCTGCCTCCTGGCATAAAGTGTGGTCTTAGAGCAGTCAACAGAGCAGTGTTTAAAACAGTTGCTATTTTTATAATTAACTATATATTAAGTACAAGTCTCAGACTAAGTACATTTTTAGCCATTTGTGAAATTCAGTTTTTAATGGTTAGAGAACACTGAAGACACCTACTGAGGAAGGAGGAATGGTCACCCGTAAAGGAGTCCAAAGTATGTGCTGAAGTAGATGAAGACACACAGACAGAACTTTGAGGAGATGGACACAGAGGAGAGGGAGTGGTGTTTCCACAGACTGTTACACCGAAAATTCAATTATTTAGAACATTGCCCACTACTACCTGGTGGGAAGAACCCTCCACAATAAAAAGCTTGAAAAATTCATTTTCCAAGAATTAACACAGTTTGAGAGAGAGAGTATTTTAGAGCAGCACCATAAAACATTGCAGGAAATTCTGCTTTAACAAATTATCAGTGTGATCCGGGAAATGCTCCTGTTGCCTTTCGGGTCAGACAAGAGACTAGAACACACTAGAACTTAGAAGTGCTTCACTGGCTGCTCTTGCTTAAAGTCTAAAAGCTCAGAGGATATTTTTTCCATTTCTAAGATATCACTGAAAATTACAGAATCAGAGTCAGACAAATCAGAGAAGGACAAGACACACATCTACTTGATTAACTGTGGCAAGTTTCTTACTGAGTACCTACCATGATCACTGAGAAGCTGTCCTCTTAAGGAAACCTGTTCCAAAAACACACGAAGATTAAGTAACAAACATAACACAGGCAATTTCTCCAAAAGAAAAATCAACATAATTTGGAGATTTCAATCCTCAGTGATATATAAAAACAACGAGGTACAAAACCATGAAGAAGCTCTATATGAGGCCACAGGACAAGGAAAGTTCACTAGCTTCAGGATGTGTAAAAGAGACTCAGACACAGAGGATTCACTACACCACTGGGCTTGGAGATTTTCTATCCCTTCTTTCCCATTTCAAGCCTTAGCAACCTTCTATAAATAGCAGGGCCATTCTTTTCTCCGACTGGATGGATTCAGTTTTGCAACTGGGAGAAGGACAAACTGTTATTTGAAGCAGCGTTACCCAATAGGTTAAACTAAGTCATGTACCAAAGCGTTAGCTTTTCTGAAAGAATTTTTATATGACCCTAAGGACGACCGAAAAGGGAAGAGAATTTAACATTATTACAGCAGAAGACCAACCATATGCACGATCTGGTCCTGGTGTAAAACTTCATCTGTAAACAATCCAGAATCTTCACTTAAAGGTTAAGATTTAAGGCACACCAGACATGAAAGGGGCACTACAAACAACAGACAGAAGGTACATTTCTCACCTTTGACTCCTATATGCACCTTACAGGGAAAGGTGCTTTGATATACAACTCTTAACAGAGCTGGCTTCTTAAGCTCTACCCCTGCTCTCCCCACTTCCCAAGAGAGCTCACACTGAACTAAATTAGCTACTTTTCTAGTGTGAAATTTCTGATCCCATCAGAAACATAGATCATTGATAAGAGTCTTCATAATACAAAGGGAGTAAACATAAGATAAGTTTAAGAGGAGAAATTCATCATCTCTACATCAGGCATCAGAACTCTAAATTGTACAGCAAAAGCACACACACCACAGTTCCAGACCATTCCTACATCAGCCATGCATGCTCCCATCAGAGCATCACAATCTAGTGTGAGAAAAAAATTTAAATTAGAATGCTGAAGCGAGATTTTACCCTACAAACATCACCAATGAAAGAGAGATAGGCAGCAACCTCAGGAGTTGGATCATCCTTTGTTCAACAGTAACTTACTCTGTCTTAAGTGTCAAATTATTAGTAACAAAAAAGAACACATGGTTTTAATAAAATCCATAAGGTTCGAGATTGTCCTCTCATGAAGCCCTTCATACGATAAGCTTCTCTGAGAAAGTTTGCCTGCCTTCTCCTGTAATGCATTAAATGCAGGTTACAGTCACCTTGTGATTGCTATAGTGTTATTAACACACGTTCACAGTTCTTGAAATAATGCATACCAAATTAGACACACTTCATTTTACATCCACATAGAATGCTATCTTCTCATATTTAAGTGATTTTTCATGTGTAGAGTATCCTTAATACTAAGTATAAATTCTGCAGTAATAAAATTGTAGTTAAGATTTGAAATAATATCAGGTAGTAGGTAAAAAAGAACATTCCATATTTTAGATGAACCAACTCTTAACTCTTAGAAGAGCTACCACAAAAAGACATTATTATTAGGTAACAAAGTTCCCAAAGTATATAAATAAAAATGCCTATATTAAATTTACACTAAATATTCAACAGAGTAAAGTTATAGGCAGAAATAACTAAGTTTTAAACTAGCTCCGACCCTGGAACTTAAAAAAATTAAAATAAATAGAATTTCAATTGATTAGTTATGAATTGCAATCGAAATTTCAATCTTATGACAGATCACTGAAACCATCTTATCAATGTGCCGCAGATTTAAAAGCATTTAGATAATTTTTCATATTGGGAATACTGAGGGGTCAAATGACATGATGGCTTTGGGTTATAAAAAACAACACATGAACCAGGGAGGAGAAAACCATTCCTCATTCTTAGTGTCGACTAGGTGGTGTGTTATGGCAGTTTTCCTTCGTGACGTGACACAGTGTTGTGGAGAAAATCAGAGGCAACGAGAATGTGTTCAGTTCAAGATACCAACTTGGCATCCTGGCGAAGCCAGTGCAGTCCCTGCCGGGTATAACGAACCAGGTCTGTCATGATGCTTGCGTTAAAGATGAGAGGGCCCATTACTTTATCCAGTTCCACAAAGAATTCTAGAAAACCAAAAACATTCATTAAACGATGCACACTCTTGAATCGCTGCTTTAAAAATTTTAGACTGTAAAATATTATTCATATGAAGTAAAAAACACCCCCTTCTGCACTAAAATGATAACTGTCCATATTTTAGAACAAACCACCCCACAGTCTCTCAAGGGCTATTTTTTTCCCTAAGTTATGAAACATTTTAAAGAGACTGTATGGTCAGGAATTAAAGAGTTATACATATAAGCAGAATTCCACTGATGGAAA